TTGTTGTTGCTTTCTTTTTCTTTTTTTGTTGCTTTTTTTTTTTTTTGTTTTTTTTTTTTTGTTTGGCAAACAGGACTAAACCAGGAAGGACAAATCAAATCCAGGAAGATGACAGAGGGGATGGTGCAAAAATTGCGGTTATGGAAGCTATAGCGGTAGTACGGAAAGGACGTTAGCGGCAGGTGCACCAGTTTTTTTTTTTTTTTTTTTTTTTTTTTATTATTATTTTTTTTTTTAGGAAAGAAAAAAAGACGGAACACCCGGCAAGACAAGGCTGCAGCGTAGGCATCACATAGGTGGGAAAAAAAAAAATAAAAAAAAATTCAAGAAGAAGAAGAAGAAGAATATCGTGGAGGTGGTGGGAGGCAGGAGGCTTTGAAGCCGGCGGTGAGTGGTTTGGGGAGGAGGGAGCTGTGCTGGTTCTGCTTGGTTGTAAAGGAAATTTAAAAGACTGCCAGGCCATCGCGATGGGGGGGTCCTTTTATGAAAGTCTGCTGGGCAAAGGCACTCAACTGACGAAGGGAGAGTATATCTCGTTGGCGATTGCCATAGCCATACCGATTGGCCAAAGCCTGATTTCTACGCTCTTTGGAGGCGCCGATGAATGGTACACGAAGCTGAAGAAGCCATGGTTCACACCACCGAACTGGGCGTTTCCGGTCGTTTGGATGACGTTGTTCACGCTTATGGGGATCGCGTCATGGCGGATATGGCTGCAAGGAGGATTTGCGGCGCAGGCGTGCCCTCTAGGGTTGTATGCGTTCCAGCTCGTATTGAATTTCTTTTGGAGCCCCATCTTCTTTGGACTCCATCTTATGGGCTGGGCACTCCTGGAGATTTCCATTTTGTGGGGGTCTGTTGTGGCCTGCATTGTGGCCTTCTACAAAGTTGACCCTATTGCGGGCTACCTCCTCGTACCGTACATCATGTGGTTATCTTTGGCTTCTCTACTGAACTACAGCATATGGGCAGAAAATTCTCTCAAAGTGGATTGAACCTTGTTAGAAGGCTTGTAGTGCCGATCGGCAAGCAAGCAAGCAAGCAAGCAGGATGCAACCGAACATGTTGCAGGGGGCGTCAATGAAGTGAAAAGGCGGAAGACGAGAGAAGTGCAGGCTTCTGATGCTTCGAGCGGGTTCACTGCGTCACTATATTGGCACTGAAAATGGTGTCAAAGTGGATTGACCTTTTTTTGGAAGATTCTACTGCTGATCAGCAAGCAAGCAAACAGGAGAGGAGGAGGAGGAGGAGGAGGAGGAGGAGGAGGAGGAGGTACACTGCTTAGAATCTACTAGAATCAGGCTGCAAGCTAAAACAGGCTCCAAGTAGATTGCCAGATTCTAAAGCAAGCAACTAAGTCAGAAAGCTGGACAGTTCTACCACCCTACATACGTGATGGGTACTAGAATGGGTTCTAGAATGGGTTCTAGAACATAGCTAATGTTCATTGGGTAGATGGTCTATGCAGCAGGTTGTCATCCCCGTCACATGACTAAGCAACTCAGAAAGCTGGACAATTACATGTCTGTTCAAACGAACAACTAGTACTGTAACAGGGACGCTGGACCGGCTTTCCAACAGGTGCTGCTCCCCACTAATATATGGAGCCTTCCGGAGAGTGCTAGTGGTGCCTTCTCTTATCAGCAGCACCCCTAGCATGCACTCAGGTTGTTGAAGAAAAGTGAAAAAAAAAAAAAAGTGAAAAGGAGGAAGATGAGAGGCGTGAAAGGCTTCGGATGCTCCGAGTGGGTGGTGCAGTGCTCTCTATATTGTAGATAGGTACCTAGCTGCAGGCTTCTAACGTTGAGGCCCGCGAACTGTAGATAGGTACCTGTCGTGGGTCCAGAAACCGACCTCTACAACACCCTGGGCTTCTATTTAAAAAAAAAAAAAAAAAAAAAAGGGTGCGAATGAGGATGTTGCGGTGCACGTGTCTGAAA